CACACTTTAGAGCTACATCATCACATAATCATCAAAGATCTAGCGGTTGTCAGAATTTAATGTGAAATTAATCCAGTTAATTATTATTAAAAGTTTATCTGCTGGTAATATATTCGCAAAATGAATGGAGGATTTGGCTGTTTTTGAACGACTTTCTTTGTAAAAATACAGTTGTTGTTTTTTTTTCAACTGGGGCAATGTTTTAAAGCACGTTCTAGTAAATAGAGTATACTATAGTGTTAAGCTTCTAGCTCAAGAGTGTCCTGGTTATATTGTGACATAACTCAAAAGTGTTGGCTAAACAGCCAGGTCATAGACACTTAGAGTTCAGGTACTGGTTTCCCTAATTTTGAGCAAGAGAGTTGTGTCCTGGACCAAGTAACTAGGACTGACTGTCACTTTTATAATGTGCTAAAAGTGCAAGAAGTATCCAACAGCATCACGTCTCGAACCCCGAATCTTTCAAGATATTATTGAATTCTATGCTGGTATAGTTACATTGACATTATGCTAAATTGCTAATCTTATTGCTAATTTGGGTATTCATTGTAACTATTAATAATGTATTATGCAGAAACTACCCTTGAACAAGGATAATTCTAATTTATGTGGTTTATATTTTAGGCTTAGTGTACTCACATATTTGATTCCTTCCAGGTTTGGATGATGACCACGTTGATTTTTTTGGCAGCCTATTTCGTCCATTTTGGAAATGCGGGATCTCCATGCCCTCCCAAAGCAGACATGGATCCCTGGTTCTGCATCAACACTCCCAGTTCACACCAAGACACCTATACTAGCGTTATCTGTAACAGACCAGGATGCGAGAACCATTTGGACAGGGTTGATGGTGTAACAGATCACATGATGCTGGACAGAGTGATCATTTCAGACGTCAACACTTCCGAGTCTCTTATGCTACCAAAAGAGTGGCTATCCGTATCCCGAGTCCGAGAACTGGAGATTCGTGACACACCTCTGTCACGTTGTTTTCTGTGTGAGAATCCACTTAGTGGACAAGGATACTACATGAACAAGCTTGTTGTTTCCAACTGTTCTTTAAGTGGACATCTTTGTACCAATTGTCCAAAGATTGGAAAAGCGGTTTACAAGCACGATCGTTATGAGAAAGTCTACCAAGTAAATGGCATAGACATGATAGGTCTTAAAGGTCTCAGGACCTTAGAAACACTCGATTTGTCCTTCAATAAACTTGAAGAAGTCACGAACACTTCCTTTCCTTATGATCTGATCAACCTAAAAAAACTGGTTTTATCACATAACGTAATATCCGAAATCAGTAGTAAGGCCTTTACCATGTTTCGGGCTTTAACTACCTTGGATCTTTCCCATAATCAACTACAAGTTCTTAGGAGAGATGTATTTTCTGTTCCTGAATTTACTTTGAAAGTGCTGAACGTGAGGTAAGTTTGACCCTACCCTCAACAATTGAAGTTTTTAAAATCAGTATGATCACCTTACCCAAAAACCATCAGAGGTCTGTTTAAGTTGTAAATTACAAAACAATCAATATTATTTAAAGCATTTGGTTGGATTAAAGCACTTATCAGTCACTGTTTCACTTCGTAGCTCTCAACAATGGTTTTCAGATATTACGAAGCGAAACTGTCTGAGAAATGTTCTAACTTCTCTAATATCTCAACAATGGTTTTCAGATGTTAGAGCATTTCTCAGACAGTTTCGCTTTGTAATATCTAAAAACCATTGTAAATAAATTGGGATGTAAACGTAAAGGTTGGGGTACCGTCATACAAACACTAGCTTTTTCCAATTGGTACACAATAGGCTATCTGTTCTTTCCTCACCACAGGTATCTAAACTCGATTTTTTGCGTTATAAGCTCTTAGACCTACTACTTAGCCACGAGTGATTTTTTATTTGATTGGAAGATTCATTAGTTTAAAAATTGCCGCTAAAATGTTATTTGTGAAGTTAGGCCTACCAGCGACCGTACTACATAGAATGTTAATAAATAAATAAATTAACTCCTATTGTTAAGTAGATTAGGCCTACCAGCGACCGTACTACATAGAATGTTAATAAATAAATAAATTAACTCCTATTGTTAAGTAGATTAGGCCTACCAGCGACCGTACTACATAGAATGTTAATAAATAAATAAATTAACTCCTATTGTTAAGTAGATTGAACTTTGTATTATTTTCCTAAATAATAAAAAAGGGACCCGCCACAACATTGATGTTAGGAGTGGGATCATTTTGATAAAAATAATATATATATTCTAGACAAAACTCCAAGATAACGAGCCGTGTTCGAAGTGAGTTCAAAAATTTTCTGAAAATTTTGAAACAGTGGGGAAAAGAATTGAAAGACCAGGAAAAAGAAAAGGAGACTGAAAATTAAAATAAAATCAAGATGTAAGAGATAGGAATTTAAAAGATAAGTTAAAATAAAGAAGCATAAGATTTATACTTTGTTTGTTTTAGAACAAAGCCACATTGGGTTATCTGCTGTGTCCACTGCGGGGAATCAAATCCCGAATTTTAGCATTGTAAGTCCGTAAAAATTAAAATAAAATCAAGATGTAAGAGATAGGAATTTAAAAGATAAATTAAAATAAAGAGGCATAAGATTTATACTTTGTTTATTTTAGAACAAAGCCACATTGGGTTATCTGCTGTGTCCACTGCGGGGAATCAAATCCCGAATTTTAGCATTGTAAGTCCGTAAACTTACTGTTGTCCCACTGGGGGGACACGTAAGACTTAAAGAAGAATTAAAAACACATTTTATTGATGACAAGATCCAAGAAATTACTAAGAAAAGAATGAAGAAGATTGAATGTAACAACAAAATTGAAGTAATAGTTTGTTTGTTTGTTATGGATTTCGCGCAAAGCCACACAAGGCCTATTTACTCTAGCCGCCCCTAATTTAGAGGAAAGGCAGCTAATCATCACCACCCACCGCCAACTCTTGGGCTACTCTTTTACCAACGAATAGTGGGATTGACCATCACATTATAACGCTCCACAGCTAAAAGCACGTTTGGTGGGACGGGGATTCGAACCCGCAGATTGCGAGTCAAGCGCCCTAATCACCTGGCCATGCCGGGCTGAAGTAATAGAAAAATACATCTATGAAGTGCTTTTAGGGCTCAACTGTTAGGGTTAGGCGACAGAGATTTATTGCTGCCAGAGCACTACTCCAGCAACTGAAATTGGAGCCGAGTCCCAACATCTCAAAACTAAAAATATGTATACAAGAAATAATTGATTCAGTTTAAACGCAAAATTAAATAATCAAACTTTTACTGTTTGTGGTACTCTCAGACTACCCATCACACACACTGTCACTCTCCCTTAGGAAATGGTGTCATACACCAGGTAATCGCTTCTGTTCAAAAGCAGAACGTTAAAATGAAATTTTTTGTCATAGTTCACGTGTTTATTAAGACACACTAATATGATATTAAAATATTTCATAAAATACCTTTTACAATTTTACTGCATAATTAAAACTTACATATTTTTAAAAAACTTAGTATTTAAATAATATATAATGAAGGTCGCGTGTTTTACTTATTCAGGTTAGCAGGACAGGACGAAAACAAAGCAGTATAAAAGTTGTTAACATATAATAAAGGTCGCGGGTTTTACTTATTCAGCTTAGTAGGACAGGACGTATACAAAGTAGTATAAAAGTTGTTAACATATAATGAAGGTCGCGTGTTTTACTTATTTAGGTTAGCAGGACAGGACGTATACAAAGCAGTATAAAAGTTGTTAACATATAATAAAGGTCGCGTGTTTTACTTATTCAGGTTAGCAGGACAGGACGTAAACAAAGCAGTATAAAAGTTGTTAACATATAATAAAGGTCGCGTGTTTTACTTATTCAGGTTAGCAGGACAGGACGTATACAAAGCAGTATAAAAGATGTTAATGTTGTTTGCAGACTAGTGTTTCTAAATATGAAGGACACTAAAATCTGTATAAATGTTACCAAATTTTTCCTTTCTGCTTAATTTAAAGGAAGTGCAGTTGTATCTTTTCTCTCGGTAATATATGTGTATTTAATTTAACTAATGTAAACAGTCTGAAATAGTGTTAAATATGCTATATATAAAATGGGCTCACAAAATTGGGAATTAGATTTTGACTATGAGATCTTTACCGTGATGGTGACGTCATATAAAATTTGATACTACATCAATTGGTGACGTCATATAAAATTTAATACTACATCAATTGGTGACATCATATAAAATTTAATACTACATTAATTGGTGACGTCATTTAAAATTTAATACTACATCAATTGGTGACATCATATAAAATTTAATACTACATTAATTGGTGACGTCATTTGAAATTTAATACTACATCAATTGGTGACGTCATTTAAAATTTAATACTACATCAATTGGATTAGGCGTTACATTGCCTGCTCCCTAATCCATCCATTTCAGGCAGCAAGAATTGGTCCAAGTCTTCCTCAGCTACTGCCTTAAACACCCGAAGAGAGACCTGCTTTGCTCCCTACACTTATCTTTGTTTTGGTGAAAGTCTGTCTCTATGGACTCACTGGACTGAACAATCTTATATGTTGGGGGGTGCAGTGGAGTAAGCTGGTGCCAGGACTCTTTACATTGAGATGTATATTAGCTCCTGACACCAGAGTCTCAGAGTGAACAGTTACTGAAAGTAGCTCATCCATCAGCACTACACTATCCCAGTTCACCCTGTGACACATGGTTGGATGATGAGTATGGTTACCTTCCATCACAGAAAGATTATCCACTGCTCCAATGATCATCACCTTCACTGGCTATCTCAACTGTTTCTGTTGGTGGCCATCGTTCAGTATCTATACTCCAATCGGTGGTCTGACTAGAGCCAAGGTTCCATTCAATCACAGACTCTCTAGACCACACACACCACTACTGCAATCTTTATTTATTCCAGTTCCTCGTGCATTGAAGCTCAACATCAGGGGAAGAACCTCATCAGCTGTTCTGAGCGCACATGGTGATGGGAATTCTCCTTCCCGGGATTGTGGCTGTAATGAGATGGCCATCGTGGACCTATGAAGCATTGTCAAACGTCCAACATCCAGGAAATTGTTCTACCAAACTTAGTCACTCTACCTGTCGACTGCCTCTCCTCAATCCCTGATTATTCCTCCATTATCCTCGATACAGCCACCCTTCATGTCGACTACCTCTCCTCAATGCCTGACTATTCCTCCATCATCCTCAATACAGCCACCCTTCCTGTTGACTACCTCTCCTCAATGCCTGACTATTCCTCCATCATCCTCAATACAGCCACCCTTCCTGTCGACTACCTCTTCTCAATGCCTGACTATTCCTCCATCATCCTCGATACAGCCACCCTTCCTGTCGACTATCTCTCCTTAATGGCTGGCTCTTCCTCCATTATCCTCGATACAGCCACACTTCCTGTCGACAACTCACCTCGATGCCTGTCTCTTCCTCCATTATCCTCGATACAGCCACACTTCCTGTCGACAACTCACCTCGATGCCTGTCTCTTCCTCCATTATCCTCGA